TACGATATTAGTTCTATATTATGTTAAATGGTATTAGAAATATGGAATACGATGCTATTTTATGATATTATTTCTATGATATTAAGTTAAATTATATTAGAAATATGGAATACGATGCTATTTTATGATATTAGTTCTACGGTATTAAGTTAGTTATATTAGACATATGGAATACGAGGCTATTTTATTTTAGTTCTACGATATGAAGTTAAATTGTATTAGAAATAAGGGATACGATGCTATTTTATGATATTAGTTCTACGGTATTAAGTTAGTTATATTAGACATATGGAATACGAGGCTATTTGATTTTAGTTCTACGATATGAAGTTAAATTGTATTAGAAATAAGGAATACGATGCTATTTTATGATATTATTTCTATGATATTAAGTTAAATTATGTTAGAAATATGGAATACGATGCTATTTTATGATATTAGTTCTACGGTATTAAGTTAGTTATATTAGACATATGGAATACGAGGCTATTTTATTTTAGTTCTACGATATGAAGTTAAATTATATTAGAAATATGGAATACGATGCTATTTTATGATATTAGTTCTACGGTATTAAGTTAGTTATATTAGACATATGGAATACGAGGCTATTTTATTTTAGTTCTACGATATGAAGTTAAATTGTATTAGAAATAAGGAATACGATGCTATTTTATGATATTAGTTCTACGGTATTAAGTTAGTTATATTAGACATATGGAATACGAGGCTATTTTATTTTAGTTCTACGATATGAAGTTAAATTGTATTAGAAATAAGGAATACGAGGCTATTTTATTTTAGTTCTACGATATGAAGTTAAATTGTATTAGAAATAAGGAATACGATGCTATTTTATGATATTAGTTCTACGGTATTAAGTTAGTTATATTAGACATATGGAATACGAGGCTATTTTATTTTAGTTCTATGATATTAAGTTAAATTATATTAGAAATATGGAATACGATGCTATTTTATGATATTAGTTCTACGGTATTAAGTTAGTTATATTAGACATATGGAATACGAGGCTATTTTATTTTAGTTCTACGATATGAAGTTAAATTGTATTAGAAATAACGAATACGATGCTATTTTATGATATTAGTTCTACGGTATTAAGTTAGTTATATTAGACATATGGAATACGAGGCTATTTTATTTTAGTTCTACGATATTAAGTTAAATTATATTAGAAATAAGGAATACGATGCTATTTTATGATATTCGTTCTACGATATTATGTTCTAAGTAAGTATAAAGCCATGTCTCCTATATTGGTTCTACTATATTATGTCATATCAGTGTTTCCCCTATGTTCCCAACTATGGGGGCGGACGTATCGGAGGGGGGCGTGGGTGTTGGGGCGCGCTGGGGGATACAATGGTAGGGAAAACACTGTATATGATATTAAGTTATATAATATTAGAAATAAAGGTGTAATGCCATGTTCATATTTTACTCCTACATAATGCTATATGATATTAGTCCTATATTATCTTGTTATTATCTGTGATATAACAAATACGAAGTATGATAATATGTTGTATATATTGGCATGACATCACTGTAATATTGGCATGGCATCATTGAAACTATAAAGGAGGACATGTGTGTCTACCTTTCCTAATGCATAACTTGAGAAATCTAACCGAGATCCCAATTCCCAACGACGGACGAATGAAACTATTGGTCTACCGTCACAAGTTGTCACTGTTGATTCGTCAACCCAGCCGTGGGAGTTCATCTAAACACCAGCCTAATGGCCAGGTCCAGGGCATGTGCACAGATACAGAAATCCCGTCATCTTCATCTGCAGCCTTGCATTAGCCAAAGAAGGAAATGGATGAGATGAAAAAGATCCCTCATTCCTCAGAGGCCCTGCCGTGCTACTGTCCAGTCCATGAAGTTGGAAAAAAACACTTCCTAGAGCACAGGGAATGTTACTCACCAATGAATGAGGAGCCGGTCCATGCCTGTTGGGGGGTATTTAGCGCTGTGTTGGGGGCGGCGCCGTTGGGGGGGGCGATTTGTGGGGGTTTTTTTCAATGGGGGGGGGGGGCGATTTGTTTTTTTTCATTGGGGGAAATGGGCCCCCCTCCCACAATAAAAAAAAGCTCCCCCTTCCCGTGATAAAAAAGCCCCCACATATATTCCCCGTGTG